ATATATATATATATATATATATATATATATAAATATATATATATATATATATATTATTTAATCAATAATCTATTATTCTCTCAAGAAGAGATTTAAAATAAATATACATTTGTATCCGTTGTCTAATTTCTTGAGATATAAATATATCTTAATTTTTAATGTTTTGACATATTTTAAATTAAGAAATTTAAAGTACAAAATTTCCTTCTTTATGGTCTGCGGAAATGTGGTCTGATCTGTATGTGGTTCACGAAAATAATAAGAATTCAAAATAATTCCATTTTAAGGAAACTGTAAAATTTTCATCATCAATATACAAAACAGAAATTTTGAAATTGAAATTTTAAACTCGGGTTGCAAAGATACAGGAATTAGAAAGTCTGAGTTTTTGGCAGTATATTATTTTATTATATCATTATTATTATATTATTTTTACATTTTTTCCCATCTTGTTCAAATTTATATTTGTCAAACATGCCTAGATGCGAAAAATGTTAAGATTAATGTGAATGCAAACCTTTTTTGACAAACAGGAAAATTTACTATCAACAAATTTGATTATTATTTTATTTTATTGAAATTAAAACCCTTTTGGCGCTGAAAGGGGCTGTACGCTTAACTCTAAGTGACCATCCATGCAAAGCACTCTCCACTAAACTCCACTATTTCTTCGGTCAGAGTACTGTAAATCACTGCAGTTTACACCGAATCGAAAGCTTCGTTGAGGATGAAAGATAACAAAGAGGTACCATTGAAAAGACATTTTTTCCGACTCGAAAAGTGTTTATTTTTGTGAGTTTCTCTATTGCTTCTAAGCAAGAAATGCGGCAAGTCACTTTCGTAGAGAAAACGCATTTAAAATTAAACAGTTTAAAGAAACAAAAACATGAATATTTTTTTTCAGCTAAATAGACAAAGCATTTAAGAGTTTCGTTGTAAATTTGGCATTGTATGTGTGGTCAATTGAAATTACGCTTACAGTCCTTTTAACGTATTTAAAATAAGTAATTTTATAATGTTATAATTTACAATATCCTAAGTAGTAGCAGTGAGTAAGAAATTATTTTTTTTATGAAATATAACAAAAACATACAAAATTAAGTAATTCAGGAGAAAATATTTTTAAAAAACTCAAAAAAAAAGAGGTTGTAGAAATATTTCTCACCAATTCTTAAAAAAATAGAAAAAAAAGAAGAAAAAAAACTGGTGGTGGATTTTTAGTAATTTTCGAAGATGAACTAACAACCTTTAGAAAAAAATGGTAGATTTATTTGTAATGTTAAAAAAAATTTTAAAACTTTTTGTGTTGTTAAAAAGATATTTGGTTCTACGCAAAACTGGCATTTTTAAGCATCTCTTAAATTTTTGACATCTTTTATGTTTGATTTATTAAATTAAAAATTTTAAATCTTTTTAGTCTTTCCTTTGTAAAATCGTCTTTGCTTTATCCGATTTTTTTTGTAAACATAGCATGTGTTAGAAATAAAACATTTGTTCTGCTGATAAAAATCTTCAATTAAATTCTGTTTAAAAACCGAAATAAGATTGATTTTTGAAAGCTTAGAAAAGTGTCGTTTATTTTCATACCATATTTATAAAACTAGAATTCGAACTTTTTAGCTTGAAAGGAAAGATTTCAATCTAAATGGGCATGATTAAGTAAAATGTTTATGTATTGTTTTTTTATATATATATGAATACATTTTTGGGGAAAATTCCCTATGTTTGCATTTTGTAAATGTACACTCTGGCAGGTGTCCAACTAGTTCCCGCATTTGTCCCATTCTAAAAATTCTTCTCTGATCGTTAATCAGTTTACTGTATGCATTTTTCTATCTGCATGTGTATATTAAATAATTTTAAAAATAAAATTCCCCCCCCCCCTCCAATCCAACTTCGTAATCCTTATTTCTTTTTCCAGAATTTTTGAAATAGTTTCCCAGCACTGGTCTCCGCATTATATCTTTAAATTCCAGAATAATTGGAATTCAAACTTTTAATCTTAATCTTGGCCAGGCATAGGGAGGGGTCGGGGTTAGTTTTATTCATACCCCCACTCCCTTTCTCCCCCCACCCCATCCAAAAAAAACAGCCTCGGAGGTGACCAATTCGGATTCGTAAATTAATACTATTTTCCTCCATTTTAACTTTCAAGTATCTAAAGTTTTTCCAAAGTATATTTTCTTCAAGTTTGTTTTTATTTTTTAATACAAAATATTTATTCCGAACAGAGTTTCTATATCTAAGAAGATTTTTTAAAAACATTTCTTTTCAACTTTTTTTTAACTTCTTCTTAAAAAGTGATCCAGAGATTGAAACTTGCACGCAAAATTCGATGAGAGCCCGTCTCAAAAATTGTTGCAACGTTTCATAGAAGTCTGGATCTCTGTGCACCTTGTTTCTCTTTATCGTTTATTTTATTTACGAATTTCTATTCAAATCTTTCTGTGTCTATTTGAATCTCTTTGAATCTATTTGAATCTAATTGAATCCATTATAAATTATTCTATGTATGTAAATCTTTTAAAATCTATTTAAATCTATTGAAATGTATTTAAATTTATTGGATACTATTTAAATATATTGGAATCTACTTAAATCTATTGAAATATATTTAAATCTATTGGAATCTATTTAAATCTATTGGAATCTACTTAAATCTATTGGAATCTATTTAAATCTATTGGATAATATTTAAGTCTATTGGAATCTATTTAAATCTATTAAAATCTATTGGAATCTATTTTAGTCGATTTTAATCTATTTGGATCTATTGAAATATTTTTGAACTTCATTTATGTAATTTTGTTGAAATTTGTTAAAACTTTGATAATATTTTTTAAATTATTAAATCAATTTGTTTTAAAAAATTGTATCTAATAATTTATCAAAATCTATTTTTACACATCTTTTTATAAATATCAATGTTTCAGGGGCGTGAAGATGGTCGAGGAAAAGGAGGGGGTGGGTAACGGTGCCCCCAATGGTGTCCCGGAGGGTGCCCCTGATGAGGGGAAACCTGATGCTCCAAAGAAACAAGTCCGTAGGGTCGGAGCCAAACCTCCAGTTGACAGGAAATAAATTCATTTCTTTCTCACTTGAAACTAAAGTTGATCTTCATCACGTCTATCTAACGTAAATTACAGACTGAAATTTGACATGTTCTTAAACATAACTCTTTTAACTGAAGAGTTATTGAAAAGAACAAACATATTTTAAGTTTCTAATATATAGCCGGAGGAATACTCTTCTCTCATATTTGTGCGTAAAATTAAAACTGGAGAAGCTAGGAGGTCACAAAGTCAAACCATTAATTTTGCATGAATTTTACCTTATCCTTCTGTCTAGATCACAGTGAAATGAAAACCTTCAGGATTTATGTTCTATTCCCTAACACTAGCAGTAAAAAATAAAAATTGATCACGATAAATCAACTAAAGCAGTGCAGGCTGTTTGAGTCTGAAAATCATCTTCTTATTCCAGATATTTTTGGTTCTCACAGAAAAGTTAAACTTATATATGTGTTTTTCAAATTAGAAAAGGAATTGATTTTTTTGCCCCAAACTTAAACTTTCTAATTCCGATATCTGTGCAACCTGATGTTTTAAACGTTTGAAATTTCAAACATTATAGATTATTTGATCTTAGAGAAATTATGGTTTGAAATATTAACTTTGGGTTGCACACAGACCTTGGATTAGAAAATCAGAGTGTAATGGCAAAAACTCTTTTAAGACATAGAAAAAGTTTGTTCTTTTTTTCATGTAATGAATTTTAAAAATCGTATAAAGGAACTGATTACTAGCCTCAAACTCAATCCATAAATATACAGGGTTACCCACATTAGATGAGACTAGACGACCTAGAATTCGTAACACATGACGATCCCACCTGAATAAATTAAGTCGTCTCCCTTGAATATAGTCGTACACGGCTTGTTTAATGAATGGCAAAGAAAGAAACAAGCTTGTAATGGCAGGAAACATCATAGCATAACTTCAGTTAAGTCGTCTTCGCAGTCTCATCTTGTGTTGGAAGCCCTGACGTTTTCTTAAAATTTAACAACAATGATATTAGTTAAGATCAAGGCACTAATGCAAGTTAACTGCGCTCATATTGAAATCAGTTCTTTCTGGGCGGAATTTGTAAACAAGAATAGATGCATCAGTGTTCGTTTAGTATCCGAGGAGGTTAAAAACAATAATTTCCGCCCAAAGACACTAAACTGCAGTTCAAAAAATGTGTACACCTCTGAAATAACTTTCCTTGTATTAGTTCCTTGACCAAGAGTATGAAAACTGAATTTATAAATCTTGCAGAGATCCACATTCGTTATATTTCTTCTCATTAAAAAACCCGATTAGAAAACGACTCATCACCTTTGTGGAGTGGAAAATCTTTGAGGTAAGAGCCTTGAAGGGACTGAAGGCAAAATTTTGATTAACCCTGTATGGAAAGATGACACTGCACGATTTACAACGATACCCTTTGTCAGATCAAGTATGAATTAGATATAAAATGTTTTTTTCATTTTAAAACTTATTATTTTCAAATGTTTTTTTTCTTAAAAAAAGTGACTTGCGCATTTTTGCTGCGGGAACACATTTAGGATTATCACAATTGAACACTTTTAAATCTAGAAAAACGACAATATCTTCCTCCTTATTAATCAGATAAAGGTTTCATGGGTTCTGTTTTGATTTGAGCATTGCAATCTTTGCGTAGAGACTAGTGGGTCTTGTGCGTAAAATCAATGCTAAAGGAGCAATAAGGTTACAAAGCTGTACAGATCATGCAGCATACTTCTCTTGCTCTCACACACAAATATATCTGCTTATTCAACCAATTATGTGTTAAACAAAAAACTAGAAACTAAGTAAATTTAAAATGTACTTTTAAAGGGCAAATTAGTAATGTAAAATCAAGGGCTAAGAGGTTGTAAAGTCGACCTGGCCTAGACAATTGATTAATAGTTTTTTATACAATGGTAGGCGGTTATATCAATACAATGAAGACGACTTTTTAATTGAAGTATTGATTGTTTACAACCTTTTTTCTAATTACAAGTTTAAAAGTAATCAAAGAGAAGCATCTATGTTTATTTGTATCCATGCTGCTTAACAGCTTGCTATAAATCAAAATTTAAATCGAAAATCGTCTTTATTGCATTGAAATAATCGCCTACCACGGGAGCTCTTTCGATCTCTGTGTATAATTGTATTCGTAATTCTTAGTGCGCTGTTCGTAAGTAGTATTTAGAGTCGCCCACGTAGATTTAAATTCTTCACTACTAAATCTTCATTTTCAAAGATAAGCTCGTCATTTATTTTTAAATCCACAAATTACTATTAAAAATGAAATCCAACATTTTTCTGGCTGGAGCAAACAGTTTTGTAAAATAAAAACGGCAGTGATTTTAAATATTTTCGACATGAACACGCATAACATTGTTTTAATCTATTTCAAGCTTTTTCTTGTGTCTCCAAATATTAATTATTATTTTCAAAAAAATTTTACTTTCCTAAAATCAATGAATTTTACTTTTTATATCGAAACAAACAAAACTATATCTTTCACTGTTTAGATGAAGTTGTAAAACAAAGAAACAAGAAAGAACAAAGAACTGAGAAATCATTTAGAACTTTGGCTTTGAACTGGCAATATTGCCAGCAATGCTAGTTCTAACTTTTTTCAAAAACATAATTATTTTTAAATTGTAAATTTCAGAATAACTTAACAAAACAGTTACTTGGAAAAATAAATAGAAAAAAAGACGCATCTCATTATGTAAAGTTGTAATCTCTGTTTGTTGCTTCGTCTGTTTGTTTGTCCAATCATAACTCAGAAACCCCTAGACTGAATTGCCTCAAATTTTGATTGGGGAACTCGGGAGGCTCACGGGACTGTTCTTAACTTGGTTTTAAGAATGATGAGCGAGGCGGCTTTAATAGCTAAAATTTGGTTTCCCGGTAAAATTGTACAAGTGCGGGTAAACGGTGTACGTGGGAGTAGCTTTTTGTAACCTTGGCAGCAATGGGTTTCCCAAGCTAGTCACAGATAAAGTATTTTTACCAATCGATATACAATTATACTTTAATTGTAGAGTGAATATATACAATTATACTTTAATTGTAGAGTGAATATATACAATTATACTTTAACTGTAGAGTGTATATATACAATTATACTTTAACTGTAGAGTGTATATATACAATTATACTTTAACTGTAGAGTGTATATATACAATTATACTTTAACTGTAGAGTGTATATATACAATTATACTTTAACTGTAGAGTGTATATAAATATTCTAAAATTTTCCTTATAGAAACATACACAGTAAGAATAAATTATGCGTTTTGACGACATTTACTTAAAATTTTTTTTTAAATATTCATATTTTAAGCTAAATACTATGTATATTTAGATTCAAAAATATAACTTTTTTTCCTGAAAAGACGAAAATTACTCTTAATTATCATGAACAAGCATTTTCAGAAATAAGACAAATCAACCTTAAAGTATGGAGACAAATAATGGTGTAATTATCTATATAAAAAGGTTTTGTTCAGTGAAAAAAAAAATGTTTTCAATAATTTATTTAAAATTTATCTACAAAATAAATTTATAGCGTAGAAAATCAATATCATAAATAATGTGTCAAACATCCATTTTTATCTTTTTTAGATGTATTCACATACTCTTAGGGCTGGGAAAGAAAAGGAAAGAAAAAATATTACGTAATTTGATATTTTTTAATGTTGGCTTCTGGCAACCTTAATAAAGATCAAACAAACCTTACAGAGTGTAACGTTTAGTTCTAAGCACAGAACAAACGAAAACCTGTTTCGTCGTTTTAACGAATGAACAGAAAATAAAAATTTGTTATTCAGGAGTTCAGTCCAAATGCACCTTCATGATGTTAATTTCTTGTAAAACTTTTATGATTAGTATTCATAAAATTTCTATATTTACTTTTTTGAGTTCTTTTTTAAAAAATCGATGCTGCATCTGCACGGAAATAAAATATTCTGTAAGTAGAGTATAAATCGTTTTTTGAACGGACCAATTTTTTCAATTTAACTAAACTTTTTCGTTAACGATGGCGATGAACGAATAAATAGGATCGTTCAGGTCGTTTTAAAACGGAACGAAAAAAAATGATCGATTTAAAATCTGTAACGATGGTTAGAGCTAAAACACGCTTAACTTTATTTACTATTGAACTTTATTCAGTAAATTATGAAGCTAAAATTCAAAATAAATATGTTTAAAAATTGTGTGTTCAGGGTTTTGTACTGCTTGCTATTGTTGGTACGTGTCTCTGCTTGGCTGTATTCCAGCCTATGCCCAATGGAGACAGTACGTCTAGAAATGAATTTTTGGTAAGTATTATTTACATACAGGCCAAGGGCACTGTTGTACTCCCCCTAAACATTTAACCATTTCTCCACAATGTTATTGTTTTTAGATTTTTTCTGAACATTTATATATTATTTCTATTTGCTCATTTTATCCTCCATTGTCGATTAAAAATTTCTGCTATATACTGAATAAACGAAGCCACTTTCAAAATAATTTTTCTTTCTGAACTTTTTTCTTACTTTCTCCATTTTTCCGAAATTATTAATTACTTTACACCTGAGTGAAGAAATTGCTAAAGGTTTTTGTCAGACCTTTCACCAGGTCCGTTTCAAATAAAGTGTAAAAATGAACCGATTTAATTTTCGCGGATTTCTGACGCTTTCTTGCCGAATTTGTAAGCTTGTACTTTGCCACATTTTCTAAAAATCATACTATAAAATATATATAATCTTAAAACCGTAAAATTCGTTCAGATTCATTCAGATTCAAAAAGTAACAAGTTCCAAATTACTTAAAGTTTCCTACTTAAGTTAAAGAATTGCAATAAAAATGATAATTTCCAGGTTTTTAAACACTTTTTAAACTTTAATTATTATTTAGGAAGAAATTGAGGTTATATTCACGTTAACGTTTACCAGCGAATGTTTGATGAAAATAGTAGCATACGGTTTTATAGAACATCAGGTATATTAATTTATAGAATACTCGTTAATTAAGTGTGAAACTGAAAATATTTCAAACCCTTTTTGTGCCTCAGGGTTGATTTTTCATTTTTCTTAGAACATGTTGATATGGGTATCAAAAGATGCGTCTTAAACCGCGCAGGATACCGTTAACTTGTACGTTTTTAAATATTTGACCAAGTGTTTTACGTACAAAAATAGATTTTCGCTACAAATAACTTTCCAAAAAACTGTTTTTTATATATAATTTTCTTAATCTTTAAGGAATGTTTACGAATTTTACGATTCTGAACTCAGTGTTTCAAGACGAATACTTTAATACCCATCTTGATTTATTTGACGAAATGTTGTTTCTATAGCTTGCTCTTATGTTTTTATTTACACAAAAAGGCAAATGTCTAAATAACTTTGAAGGTTATGAAGAACAAATCTCAAATCTCAAATGTATCAAAGAAAAGTTTAGAACTGGTGCAAGGTGGATTTTTATCGAAACCGGCTCAATAGTTTCATTAATCGTTAATATCTAATTCTAAGTCTTGGAAAACTACTTTATTGTACCAAATGAGCAACTTTATGTACCTGCTTAGTAATTTTATGTATCTGCTCACCAATTTTATGTACCAACCTTTCAAAGGAATTAAGTCTTTGCCACCCAATATCGAAGACCTTTAATAATTCTGTTGGATTAAATATTTTAAGTTTAAAATATCAAAGGGTTACACCATCAGGTTGAAAAAATATAGCTAAGACTCAATTCCTTTCATGTGCTGTCTCTAAACCGACTTATTTCTTTTTACTTGACTGAGAAAACTTTATGAACCTGATGATTAAGGTTATGTACCAGTTCATACTGAGCAAATTTATGTACAGATTGGCCAAATTTATAAGCCAAATGACCAATTTCATGTACCGACTGATAAACTTTGTGTACCAAATGACCTATTGAATGTACCGACTGGCTGTAGGTGTATGTACCGACTGATAAACTTTGTCATGTACTAAGTACAGACTGAACAGCTTTATGAAGCGACTGACTTCATCTTTATGTACCGACTGGCCGACTTTATGTACCGAATTACCAATTTTATTGTACCAAACCGGGTAACTTTATAAACCAATTTACCAATCTTATTTACTGACTTATTTACTGACTTATTGCAATCTTTATGTGCCAACTTAATTTTCTAACTGACTAACTTCAGGAATAGGTTTACCGTTTTTGAGTTCAATATTTTAAATTCATTTCGTTTAAATTATTTCAAGTGCTGGAAACCTAAACTATAACAACGTTTTTACGATATTTTTTAAATAATAAGAAAGTTTTTCTTTTTTTCAGAATGCGTATCTTCGAAACTCTTGGAATATTCTCGACTTTACAATTGTCATGATAGGGTAATTCTTTAAGTAACCCTAAATTAAAAAAAGTGACAAGTATGACTCACAATGGTAACTATTAAATCTGTGTAAAAGTGTAGAATTATCACCAATTCCTTCATTGTCATTCTCAAGTCACTGAAGCAAAGCAGCGTCAATTGATAATTATCATGATTTCACTTGGTAAAATAAGAAGATATCAATAATCCATGATTGGATAGACTTTTAAAGGTCTCCGTTGTGAATCTGACATGCCACTTTTTGAATTAACGGGCACATCAAATTGCGAGTACAGCCTCTTTTATTCCTTACTTGTTTGATGTTTAAAACTTATCTAAAAACAGCTGACTCATCTTGCTTTTCAAATTAGAATTTCTTAAGAGAGATGTTTTTTTCTCATATTTTTCGAATATTCATCTTTTTTGCGATATGCGAGTTAGCATGTTAATTAAATTTCGCATTGACGTATTTAAAAACTTTATTTGACTCATCTCTATGAATGAAAACATTAATTTTTTTTTCTTCTACGAAAATACAAAAAAGGAAACCATGAGCATTTGTAAGCTTTTGTTAATTCTTTTATCTTCAAACCACTTAAAACTTCAATTTCTTTTTACTATAAAACCACTTAAAAATGCAATTTCTTTTGAATTAAAATTCTTTTCTTTTATTTTAGTTTATTTTCTGCAGTGTTAGCTACCTTACAGATAGAAGGGTTTGATGTAAAGGCTTTAAGAGCGTTTAGAGTTCTCCGACCTCTTAGACTTCTTTCTTCCGTTCCAAGTTAGTATAGTATAGTATAACAACCAAAATAAAGCCGAATGAAGGTCGCTGAGAATTTTGTAATTTGTTACCATTATTAATCAATTCAACATGAGCCCTAAGCTGTAAACTCTTGTATTGTAGATATCGGGATCAGTGCTTAATTTTTGTTGTTCATCTACAGATTACTTTAATCTTTATCCGCTATACTGTGATTTGTGAACAACCAATCAGAAACCAGGGAATTAGTGTTCAGCCAATAAGATAACAGACAAAATGTTAATATTCAAAGAAGAGACTCTGAGTAAAATTCCAAAGTGCCCACTCTGGATATCGAGATCAAGCGTTCAGTTGTATGGGTAATCAACACAAAAATTCCTAGCCCTAGGCATAATCATCATGATAGTTACAAATTACAAAATCTTAGAAATTACATTTGAAAAAAGATTGCATACTAGGTGTTTTTGACGCTTCAGGTCCCTTCTCATATAAAATTTTATCTCTTAACTAACTGTTTCTCTGAAAAGGGTCATTTTTAATCATTCTCAAATATTGGCGGATTTTCTAATCTACATTGCCGCATTTTCAAAATTAATGATGCTGACATTTTTTAGGCAAAATTGTTTAACTTTGATGGTCCTTAAACTTTCCCATTTAACGCTGTAATTTTTATAAATATTTGTTTTTAATTTTAAATCTAGGTTTACAAATTGTTCTGAACGCTATCTTGATGGCCCTGATTCCCCTGTTCAACATCATGTTGCTCGTCATGTTCGTTATCATCATCTACGCGATTATTGGTCTCGAGCTCTTCCTTGGGATATTCCATAAAGCATGCATGGACGAAATAACAGGTTAGCAGATAGTGCAGGGGTCCATATTATACTTCCATCAAGTAAGATCCCAAATGTTGATTGATTGATATTATGGGCAGAAGTTAGCCATGTTATTATTGAAAACAATTGACAGTAGTCTGTAAAGTTGATCAAATATTCAGACTGCAGAATGTTTACTTCAAAGAGAGTGAATATTTTTCTGTAAATCATATTTTATCTCTTATATTAAATACTGTTATTTTAATCTGTTATCACCCAAATGAAGTACACATTTCTGAAGTGTAGCACAGGTACACAAAAATCTTGCAAATGTTGTTCACAATGACACTAAAAGCCCCTAAATGTAATTTCAACCCCGAGTCAATCTGGGATCAGAAATGGACTTATAAAGTGTTCTTGACCGTTTTTTTTTATAAAACTTTTTAGATTTCAAAATTTAATTACGTTGAATTTTCTTTTATTAAGGTATGCAATATCCTTATCTTAAAAGAAAATGAAAACTATCTTTACAACACGTTTGTTTTTGCATAGTTTTTGAACCGTTTTGGGTAATTTTTTATGCATATATTTTTGCACACATCTTCTGTCAGGGTTGAAATTTGACAAGGTGTAAGATATTTAAGTATACGTGTTTAAAATAAACAGTTTAAAAACATTTGATTTTCTTACCCTCTGCCAAATATTTGACCCTAAAAGAAAATGGGGAAAAAACGATCAAGAAACGAACCAAATGCAGGCCCATTACTCAGCGCAGCTAGGGTTATTCAAAATGAATAAGCTGACTTTAACAATGGCCTTAAACTCTTTCTGAAAGTTTGATTTTCTCAATAAAAGTCTTGTACAAATAAATAAAACAAATTGGTAATGAAAAAATCTACCCATGCAGGAATGCTTAGGAAATAGGCATGCATGGACATGAAAAAAGGCTTAAAAAACACATTCTACATATAATCTTCCTTTGAGTCTCATTCTTGGTGAATAACCCTGAGTTGGTAAAATAAATTTTTTTCAAGATCATCTTAATCTTGAAAAATTTGGATTTTCATTGGTAATGGTGCTTATAACATTTCAAAGAATTTTCAAAAATATAAAACAATTTAGATAAAAGCATATAACATGTAACACATATTATTGTATTTATTTTTCAACAACATTTCTATTAAATAAATTTATTGTTTGTAGAGCTAGATCTTCAAAAAATGGGTGATTTAATTCTTTTTTATTTCCTGACCGTCCAGTATACTATTGTGAACCTTAAAAAATCCTCCAAACTATAGACAAGAAGTTCGAACAAAAATATTAAAACTAATTATGCTTTATTGTTTTGCCAACGAAACAAGGAATTGACAGGTATTATAAAAAGTTAGAATATAAAATTAAATGGACAAAATTGGTTCTAATAACTTTTAAAATTTGTTTGAAGGTGAGATGCCTCACGAACCAACACCATGTGGGGGAACACTTATCTGTCCTAATGGAACCATTTGTAGGGAATACTGGGAGGTACTTATTACAGTGATAATAATAATAATCATAATAAAAAACTATTACCAGGGTCCACAGTATGGAATAACCAACTTTGATAACATTGGACAAGCCATGTTAACAGTCTTTCAGGAAAAATTCTAAATGTTTTTAAAAATTGTATTTTTATGTCCAAAATCTACTTAGATTGATCAATTTGATTACAAAGTTCTGGTATAAACTGTATATAGCTATAGATTGATCAATTTGATTACAAAGTTCTGGTATAAACTGTATATAAATATAGATTGATCAATTTGATTACAAAGTTCTGGTTTAAACTGTATATAAATATAGATTGATCAATTTGATTACAAAGGCCTGAACATTAAGGACACCTGTATCGGGTCAATAATGTGGAAGATATTGTCGTTTTTCTAGGGTTAAAAGTGATTATGTTTAATAATTTCTATATATTTTTTTGGACAAGGCACTTATGAAGGGAAACCACAGTTGAAAATAATAGATCCTTGATTCAACAAAGCTTTTAAGGGTATCATTCTAAATTAAGCATTGCCATTTTTGCATGATTGGTTTACTTGCAATTACGCCTTCTGCAGTCCCTTAAAAATATTCTAATATTCCAGAGAGTTCTCTAAAGAAAGAGAAAAAGCGCAGAGCCGCGGAGATTTCCAGAAATTGCGCGCAAAGCAGCAGATGGACGAAGATTTGCAGGGTTATCTAGACTGGATAGGAAAGGTATTAATTCAATCCCTTCCTCTATCTAACCCCATTGTTACGAAAAAAACCGCTTATATGTAACCAAAAATTGCGTATTTTGGGGTGATCTAACTTTTGCTGCTTAATAAGTGTATTGAATTTAAGCGATATTTTGTCAATTACCAGGCAGCCAAACAAATGTCAAATAAATGATTTTTTAATTTCGTAATTTAGAGTGTATTAATTATATCCTGCAGTGGTTTTTACAAAAAATCATTTTGTTCCGAAAATAAATTATAAAGCCGCGGCGGCTAAAATTCTGTATATCGTTAAGCTAAAGTACTTTGCACGCTATATTGAAATCTTATTCATTTCCAAGCATATAGAGTTATTGAGAAGAGAAAAGTTGTTTTAGATTTCTACTAAAATCAAAACAAGAGGAGCACCGAGGTCACATAGTCACACATTTACTGTCGATCAAATTTGACCTTCTCCTTCTCTGTTTAGTTTATTTTGGTATAAATCGTTATGTTTTTGGAAGGCACGGGCAACCCACATAGATTTCCCTGTAATCATGAATTTGGCGTACCGTCCCGGTATGCCGTACGATGTCTGTTATTGTACTGTACAGCTTGCACTCTATAAGCTGGTCGAAAGTCGACCCGGTACTTGGAATGAACCAGAGTTTACAATAAACCCTGTTTTAAGCTCAGATTTTTTTATTTGTTAGGCTGAGGATCTAGAAACTGTTGTGGACCCTTCCATGGCGCTAAAAGTAGATGTGGGGAAAGCTAAGGTATTTATTTATTAAGAGCAATAAGATTAGAATAAGGAGAAGAGATCAATAAGATTAGAATAAGGAGAGGAGATCAATAAGACAAGAATAAGGAGAGGAGATCAATAAGACTAGAATAAGGATAGGGTATCAATAAGACTAGAATAAGGAGAGGAGATCCATAAGACTAGAATAAGGAGAGGAGATCAATAAGACTAGAATAAGGATAGGAGATCAATAAGACTAGAATAAGGAGAGGGGATCAATAAGACTAGAATAAGGAGAGGAGATCAATAAGACTAGAATAAGGAGTAGAGATCAATAAAACTAGAATAAGGAGAGGAGATCAATAAGACTAAAATAAGGAGAGGAGATCAATAAGACTAGAATAAGGAAAGGAGATCAATAAGATTAGAATAAGGAGAGGAGATCAATAAGACCAGAATAAGGAGAGGAGATCAATAAGACAAGAATAAGGAGAGGAGATCAATAAGACTAGAATAAGGAGAGGAGATCAATAAGACTAGAATAAGGAGAGGAGATCAATAAGACTAGAATAAGGAGAGGGGATCAATTAGACTAGTATAATGACAGGGGATCAATGAGATTAGAATAAGTAAAGAGGATCAATAAGACTAGAATAAGGAGAGGGGATCAATAAGACTAGAATAAGAAGAGAGGATCAATAAGACTAGAATAAGGAGAGGGGATCAATATGACTAGAATAAGGAGAGGAGATCAATAAGACTAGAATAAGAAGAGGGGATCAATGAGTCTAAAATTATTTTTCAATTTTTTTTATTTTTCTAATTTTTCTAAGTTTTCTAAGTTTTCTAATTTTCCAAATTTTATGTTTACAGAATGACCCTGTTGTGATGGGTCTTCTAAAAAGTACGATGTTCCCTCTACAGCAAGTTTTAGAAGGTAAAAAAATTAGGATAATTTTTTTCTAATTTGAAAAATTGCATTTATTCAGCAAAAGTGACCTCTGATGGGCAAGGTGGTGGAGGTGGCGAGGCCGACCATTCTGGAGCTCCGGAATCATTTTTTCAAAAAAGATTAAAAAGATTCGAAAAGTAAGTATTTAGTTTTAATGAAGACGTAATTTCAAATATCAATGTTTTTTTTATTAGAAAATTGATAATTGTCCGTTGTGGTCCCTTTATAAACGGGACCTGCATAGTTAAATATCATTTTTCATAATACCTGAGTCCGAATTTAATTAATTCGAGCCGCGTCTCAAATCCGTCAAAAACCGGTTTTAATTGAGTGCCGGCTTAAATCTTGAAACATGATACAATTTTAAGTAAAAGCAGCCATATTTGAGCTGCTTCTCAAATTTAAGCCGCGGCTCAAATTCTTTAAAACCGGCCTCTGTATAGTTTAATATCATTTTGCTTCTTAAAAGAAAAGAAAAAAATATTTTTATATATTTTTAAGTACTTAAATTTTCAAATTCACATTAATGTAACAAAGATAAAAAACGTAAAAAAATGTATATTTTTTCTTCTGGGTAAAAGAAATAACTTTAAAGTTGCATTAAAGCTGCAACTTGTACTTTAACAAATACGTAAGGATGAAAGAAAATACAATATAAAAGTTTCAGATGTTGCATATAAAGTAGCTAAATTAGTTAAATTAGTAAAAAAACATTCATTCTTTATTTGTAAAAAAGAACATTAAAAGAATTATCTTTTAATTTTCTAAAAGAAATTGAATATTCAAATTTTCATACAGTTAAACCCTAAAAAAGCCATATATCGAAAGAATTCATCAAATGTCGTATTCTTCACTTACTAATAATGGAATTTTACAAATATTTAGTTTTTTAATTAAATGATTATATGGAGCTCTTCAAAGTGTTCCTGCATATGCATGGCTATTTATTTATTTCGCAAATACTGAGATTTACGGAAAATAGTATAAAACCCATTAAAAAATTGTCAAGACGACATTTGATAAATTTTTTCTATGTATGGCTCATTTAGGGTTTACCAGTACCAGATTATCTTTTTCCTTGTGCTTGAACATAATCCACAAACAAAACTAGATAAAAAAGTATATTTCCACCGAAGAAAATATTTTAAAGGGTACCTTTGTGAATCGGATCTGACTTAGCAACATAAAATATTAATATGCACAGGGTGTCCCTATAAACAAAGGAATTAAGTGCCGACTTTTATGTCGTCTTCGATCCATGTGGCATATTTTCATAAAAACAATTATTGCAGTATTCCAGCTTAGACATCTAATATAAAAAATGCCTGGTCTTTAGATTTATAAAAAATGGTCACCATTTTTGTATTTTGAAAATTTGACGGAGATATTGCAAAATTTGAAAAAATTACAATTTGTTTAACAAATAAAATTTGCCTTAATATCTAATCTCTTCGTCAATTTTTAAGATTTTTAAGAAGAAAAGTAAACCAATTTATAAAAAGCTCGTCAGACGCACAGCCTCGTCTTTTTTACTTTCTTTGCCATTGCATTAAATATATGAAATCAAAGACGACTTTCAAGTCGTCTCTCAATTTCAATGTTTGTTGGGACAACCTGTATATAGCATATTTGTAGATGGAACAGAAAGAGCAGAAGAACAGTTCGTTATATTTGTAAATAATACTAAATATATTTATATTTATTCCAACTGATGATTGGGTTAGACCCATGAAACATTTTGTCTTGGAAAAAATATATATTTAAACATCTAAAATGTATATTTAAACTGAAAAAAGTTGAAAATACTATATATATATATATATTTGTAGATGGAACAGAAAGAACAGAAGAACAGTTCGTTACATCTGTAAATAATACTATATTATATTTATATATATATTTGTAGATGGAACAGAAAGAACAGAAGAACAGTTCGTTACATCTGTAAATCTCAGTTTATGTTCTGGTTTATCATCACCTTAGGTAAACACAGGGATAGATTGTTTCTTTAAAAACTGTAAGACTAATCCCTGAATAGGTATTATATGCAATAAGTGGTGGATAAATGGCAGTCGAAAACCTTGTGTATGCATATAGCATGTCGTGTCGGTACGCCTAAAGGCCTACTTAGCCCAGTCCGTGAAAGCTGATTAGAAGTATGTATATATCTAGACTGTGCATGGGCCCTTTTAAACAAAATATAACTGTGAAATAGCTGAAAACGTTATTTACGGAATCTTGTGTAACTTTATATAGTATACCAGTGTAGCTAAAAAGTAAACGTAGTAAGTAAAATTGGTCTTTGTACAATTTACACTGCATACAGGTCCTGTGATTTTACTTAATTGGACTAGATACTTAAAATCCTTACTTAAGTCTAACAGATTTAAATTTTGATAAAATTCGAAAATTGCAACAAAAAATGTGCAAATATTTTTAGTGTTATTGTTTTGGAAAAATGTTTTTGACTAAATAAACATAAACATTTTAAACTATTACCAGAAAGCTGAGTATCTTCAATCTTTATAATTAGCTTTTTTTTGGTGTTTTTGTTTTAATCGATCTCATTCTATAGTGATTTTGGGAGATGTTTTGGGCCTTCAGAAAATAAAAAAGATTATTTTTTTTAGAAAGCAATGTAAATTTTCAACTCTGTCAATGATCTTGTCTGAGGCTCATAGTTATACGTCAATAGAATTCAAAATATGTCTTGACATTTCTTAACAATATTTTTTATACAGTTTATCTCATTAATATGAATACATTGGAAGAATATTTAAAATGTCGTCTTTATCACTTTTCCCTTGTTTATGTCACTAAACGTTTACAAAAAATAAATTAAGATTACTTTCATTCCCGATAAAAAAATGTCCAATTCAAATTATAAAAATCAAATTAATAAGTTTAACTGAACCCAATATTAAAGGAAAAGTGTTCTTTTCTTAATGTTTGTGTCAAAAATACATTTGTATTCATGAATAGATAATGCATGTCCGCCTAATTCTATTTATATTTAATCTCGCCGTGTTTGCCAGGAAATCATTTATTTATTTTCAACTTTACAGCAAGGTTTATTTTATTTTGAAAAACCTTTTTTAGTTGGTTTGTATTTGTTAATTTTCCTTTCGTAGAAAAAAAATTCTGTATCTTTCTATATTACAAAAGTTAAAATCGATTGTTTACAATTTTATTTGAGGAGGGTCGGGGGTGTAACTAGCTGGTTTCCAGCGAAAATATATATTTATGCAACTGTCTTGTGTTATCATGCGGAACAATATGTTTTTTTTTTGGCAGAGATTTTTACTTTTCTCGTTTATTTCAGGTATTCAAAATTTTTAATCAGGAACCTAGTGACTAGTGAGTGATTAAAAATCTTGAATTTAAACCGAAAACAAACAAAAAAATAAAAATTACAACAAAAAACATATTTTCCTAAATGATAACACAAGACAGTTGGATAAATTTATTCAATTCAAGTTTCATAAAATGTCCGTTTTTTTTGTTAAAATCCGCGAAATAAAAAGGGAAACCTGCTTTGCCGGTATAAAATATTACTTATTTGCCTCGGAACAAATAAGAAACTTTTTATATCCAAGATCATGCAATTGTGAGTAAAAATGCGGGATAAAAATTCTCTAAAATTTAATAAAATTTTCTTATGTATTTTTCGCGGGATTAGGTATTTTTTCTGCAAAAATAAATTTTGCAGAAGCGAGCAAAAACGATGAGGAATTGATTTTTGTTCCGCGAAAATTCCGAATTTATTTCGTGAAACAGATTAACGCCGAATTCCGCGGAAAATGCAAAAATGTGCAATTCTGTCTATAAAAAGAATACGAAAAAATTGCAAAAAAACGGAATTTTCGCTTCGCGCATCCTACTTTTTTAACCAGTGGTTACGCTGTTAGTCATACATTTTACAATCAGGTACTCTTGAAACTTTTATCTTATAATCAATGTGGAAGTTAAAAGTTTTTAATTTTGATAATTATAATATATGTTTTCCTACAGAAGAAAAGCACAAATGTAAAAAATGTAAAAATAATAAACACTGAAATCTATTTCATACTTGATTAAAAAAGTTTTAAAGAGTACCATTGTGAATCAGACATTGCCATATTTCCGGGGAGTGGGTCATTAAAATTACGCTTACAGTCCCTTTAAACAAGAGAAGCGGTTCAACTACATAAACGTAGTTCGACTACTTTCGCTATTTCTTAAATCTGTTCCCTTTGTGAATACTAATTATCATCCGAATATATAGACGAATATTATCATCCGAATATATATATATGAGTTGTCTTTGATTTCCGATATTTCAAAATTGAACCAAACAAATACTTTTATTATTAATGGTTAGAGAAATTAAAAAAAAAACTGGTTCTAAATAATTTGACTAATTTTTAGTATTTTTGAATACCTGTGTTCTGGCGACTGAACATCACAATCAACCGGAGTGGTTGGATGATTTCCAGGTACATTTATGTACACTGTTTACTGCACACTGTACACCGTTTATTATACACTGTACAGTGTACACTGTACAGTCGCACTGTACACAGTTTATTGTACACTGTACACTGTACACTGGACACAGTACATCGTACACTGCACACCGTACACCTTACACTGTACACTGTACACCGTATACTGCCCACTGTACACCGTACACTGCACACTGTTCACCGTACACTGCACACTTTACACCGTACAATGAACACTGTACACCGTGCATTGGACACTGCAAACTGTACACCGTTTATTGTACATTGTACACTCTACACTAGGGTTTCCAGCAAACGAACCGTCTCGCGAAAACATGGGAAAAAATGCGAACATTTTCGGTCTTATTTCGCAAACTTTTTCGCGAAATTTTGCATTTTTGCACGAGCATACGAAATACAAAAATGAAGCAAAATGGTCGCGAGAAAAAAAAATTTCGCGAAACGAATTTGCCTTTTTGCTGGAAACCCTACTCCACACTCTTTACCCTACACTATGCAATATACACCCTACACAGTGCAGTGTGCAGTGCACTATACACTACATAGAGACGGCTATAATGTGATCTGTATATTTTCTTGATTGATTCTGTTAATATTTTGATTTTATCTTTGTTAATATTTCAAACAAAAAAAAGGGGTTTTGATTATTACAGCGTTATTAGCAAACAGAATGTGACAATATAAACCAACTTGATTACATTACATAATACATTATACATGCAGACAAGGTTATAATGCAAGGAAAGTTAATTAAAGTTGCGTATATTCTGCGTACATATTCAAACCAGTTCTCTCTGGGCGGAATTTTTAGACAAGAATATGTGAAAGATGGATCCCATGTCAGGCTGTGACATCCGTCTTGTGTTTACATTACCGCACAGAGACAGTACACTGCAGTACAAAATATGGGTACACCTCTGAAATAACTTTCCTTACATTATAACCTTGCATGCAGATAAATCTTTGAAGAAACTTTTTTTTTTGAAAATCATACCAATAAGATACTTTATTGAAGACAAAGAGGACCAAAGTGAATTAAAAAGTTTTTGGTCATTATTTGAAGTTTTCTACTTTGGTGGTGACTTACATTGATGATGTCATTCCATATTTTCCTCCAGTTCATTTAAAATGTTTTAATTTTTATTACATCATAATAGATTATACTCAAGCTTGAACGCCAAAATACGCATATACCAGTCGAAAAATCAAGCATTTTTTGCATGCAAATGGTTCATTCTTTTTAAATTTTCTGATTAGTCCCTAAAATCGGTATACCACGGTCAAATATGATGTGGGACACCCTGTACTTAAAGGAGTACAACAGTACGCTTTCCTCCTCTATTAATTAAAGTAACAATAAAGAAAGTGTCGCTATATTTCTGTAAGGTATAAACGTATGTATTTTTTTACAATTACCATAAATTTGCGAATGCAAGAAACTTTGTTATTAGAAAATCAAAATTGATTAATTTCCATCTATTCGCCCCAAAAATATGGATACCTCTAAATAAGGATGGTACTGTTGTGAATTGAACAATCCCTTTAACATTATTTTTCAGGAGTACACAAACCTGTTTTTTGTTTGTTTGTTTACGGGCGAGATGTTTATGAAGATGTATGCTCTGGGGTTCACGGTAAATATGGAAATTTATTTTTTATAAAATTTAAGTACGTAAAAATACAGATCATATTTTAAAAACACTAGGTGAAGAGAGGCCCCCCCCCCCTGTTTTAATTAAGAAATAAAAAAGTAATGAAAATATTTTTAAAAATTTATAAAATAACTAGCATTTTAAAAATAATGAAGGATAATAATAGTCGTAAACTTGGATAAACTAGTTCATCAATGCTGTCAACTTATATTTTGTTAAATATCTAAATAATAATAAAAATATTTTAATAAGAATACAAAATCATAATCAACCTTATTACAATTTATAAACACAGTTTGCATTGCTGTATTGTTCAAATATTTGTGTAAAACCATAGCTACCAAATAATGAACAGAGGATTCAAATCTTAAAATCAAAAAAAGAACTGAGTTTTTGACAAAAACTTAAATCGTCTAATGTGTATATCTTCTCAGCCTGGTGGTTCAAAACTTTGATATTTCAAATTTAGATTTTTTATATAACAGACTTCATAATTTGAAGTATCTAACGTCAACGACATTGGGTTGTAAAGATATAGGGATTTAAAAAAATCAAAGTTTATGGCATAAACTCAGTCCCAATATCTTGGCACCCTGATCGTGTAGACTTTTGATATTTGAAACTCATTATTTGACCTAACAGAATTCGATATATTTGGCATATTTAAAGTCTACGACATTGGGTTGCAAAATCAGATTTTTTGGCGAAGACTTAATTCTTTTACATTAGTAAAAAACTGATGTATATTTAAATCACTGATTTTTACCATTTTTTTATATTTTCACATTATCACGCTTTAGGTATTATGGCTCTTATCAGGAGTTCGATTTTCATGTTTTAAGCATTTTTAAAATCTAAAAATATGGACAAAAGTTGTTGTTGTAATAATTGTTACCTCTCACATTACCAAAATATCCAAAACATTCCCTTAGAAAACAAAACTACAATACCTTTAAAGGGACTGTAAGCGCAATGCCCGATTTACAACGGTACCATGGAAACCTTTACCTGACCAGTAATGTGGAGTTTTATTCTGTTTCATTCTGATTATTTCCATATTTTTTCCTGAATATAGAAATGCGAAAGTCGCTTTTGTAGAGAAACCATAATTAAAAATAATCAATGTTTAAAGTTATAAACATTGATATCTAATTTATTATTGATCAGACATAGCTTCCAAGGGTACTGTTTTGAACCAGGCATTGACATCTTTGCATGAAGGGTGTCTTGACATTTTGCTAACAGTCCCTTTATTGTGTATCTTGCATCATGTTTGGCTAGTTTAAAAAAAAACTTTGTCTAATTTTAAAATGTTTTTGTTTAGGGTTACATGGTGTCCCTGTTCAACAGATTCGACTTCTTCGTTGTGATCTCCAGTATTCTCGAGTTCTGCCTTGTATCTCAGGGATAGATAGATAACCTAGCTCAATTAACCGGCCTTGCCCGTGGAATTTTAAAACACTTGAATTTTTCAAAACAATTAAAATTTTTGAAAAACATTTTAAATTTTGAAGAAAAAAATTTAGCTTTTGTTTTCCCAGGATACTCAAGGGTTCTCTCAACGAATTTCAGTCCATTTGGTCCAGCCGTTTGGCCACCTATAGCTGACATATATTAGAGACTAGCTGAAGTGCCCGGTTTTGTCCGTGGAACTTCTTAACATCGAATTTTGAAGAAAAGATAAAAAATGGATGTCCCACAGAGAATGATAAAATAATTTTTAAATTGGCCAATTTTACCAATTTTACAGTATTATCTTTAGGAAATGTAAAAAATTTAATGATACAGAAATCATGAGAAATTCGCCAAATATGGATAAGTTCATAATTAGATCGGGAAAAATATTGACACTTTACTCAAAACCCTAGAAAACCGCAAAATTCTTCACTTTAATGCAAAGTCATAATTATAACTTTGAAAAATGGAGTGCTGGAGAGATGTGCAGAAAGGAAGAAAAGAGTTCAGAAAGATATTCTATTTAAAATCAGTTTCGGACAAGGCTCAAATTTGTTGTCTTTTGAAAAGTGGCTTTGTTCATCCAATGTATGTTTTTTGATTTGAATTTTTGGGATTATTAAAAAATGTTCAGATATAATAAACATAAAAATCGTAATCCCCCCCCTCCTTATTGCTCTAATGGTCTTGTCCCTATCTATCCTGTCTACCCCAACAGGAAATTATGCCACCCCTTGGTATGTCTGTGTTAAGATGTATCAGACTTCTAAGAACATTTAAAGTTACAAAGTAAGTTTTTTTATATTTTATTAATTTCACTTCAAACTTTTTCGTACTTTTCTTACTTAAAAGAAAATTTTTTTAGATAACATAATTTTAATATTTTAAGTATTTTACCGGAAATCGTGAGAGGTCCCACAAAAAATTTGGTCTGCTATGTATGTTTATTGTTTAGGTATTGGTCTGCTATGTTTATTGTTTAGGTATTGGTCTGCTATATTTATTGTTTAGGTATTGGTCTGCTATGTTTATTGTTTAGGTATTG